ATCCCAAGAAACGTATTGCTTCTTCATATTCAGTAGAACCATTATTATTATTACTATTTTCATATATAAATTGTATTTTGTAGATCCTTCTTAAATATTTTATCGCGTAACTAATACTAAGTATAACTCTTGCTTTGTCTGATGATAACCTATATTAATATTGATTTGATATGGTAGTAAAATAAATTGACGTTATCATAATAAGTCCATAATAATAAATAATAAGTTATGAATGCAGCATTATTACTTTTCAAAACACCATCAGTCACACTGGTCAATTTTACAGCCACATTATAATCAGCCTCTCATTTATTATTATGTCACATAATAGAATTTCACTTTGTCTGGTTTTGTTGCAGTCTGCCCCAATTTAAATACATATATACTAATACCATTCAATAAACTTATGCTTCCAACTTTTGATGTCCAAAATTAAACCCTTCTTCACTAAAGTCCTGTCTCCAAATGATTTCTGAAACAAAAACTTTTTTAAGTACATGACAGTTAGCCTTACATGTGTAGACTAATAGACTACCCCAATCAAGAGAATCAGTTCTTGTATTATCAATCTTAAGATGATTCAATAGAGTAGACAAAATCTAGCAAAAAATGCATATATTAAAATTAACAACCAAGTGTTAACATAAAAACAGTTATACTGTTACAACAGAAATATTACTATTACTAGATCAAACCTGAAATTCAAAAGTTCTTTGTTGCCCACAATGCTCACATGGTGGTAAATCATTGTCAGTTGGTTTTCCATAGTCACTTATCCATAATGGATCAGTATCTGTATCATACTCTAATCTTGCATACCTACTCAATGTACCAAAGGATTCTTAAGTGTATGCATTGATTTTGTTTATCCAATATTAGTTACTTCAACATTCACCTTACAACTTGGTCAGGTTGGAAAGATATCCTCTTCTGAAACTTAAGAAAAGCCTTATCCACATCAACATTAGAATTCTCATAAACTTCATCACCAACTGGAACTAATGCTTGTGAATTGTTTAATGCTATTCCATGAATGTACAATGAGTCACTATCACCACTTTTGTTAACAGAGATTTTTAAAGAAACCTACAAGAACTCTCAGCCAAAGTGTCCTGTTCTTCAGAATCTGACAGTGATTCTGACTCGGTTACTATTTCATATTCAGGAAATAGTACTGCATTTCTGCATAACTGTATTCCATTAGCGATTTCTTCAGCTGATAAATCAGTTGCTCCACAATGCAACTTATGTTGGCCAATTGTCCAATGACTAGTTTGGTGCTCTCTTGAGCAATAATATACTGCCTTGCACTTGCCACATGTTTTTGATCCATGGAGACCACAAACAACACATTGACGTGCTAACATAATAGCAAAAACATCAGATAAGGATCTAATAATTAATAACACATATTATATAATTTTGAGTACCAGCATGATAAGTTGTTATAGGTTGGTTTGAATCATCCACCTCAGATGAGTTGGATAAAGGCCAATATAAATTATCTTTGGGCAATTGACTTCTGAATATTTTTATACTAATAATAAAGTTAGCATATTATTATGTCCACTTTGATTAAAAGTTATAATTACAGACCTCTTCTGCCAATTAGTCTTGTGACATATTCCTACACTGCATATAAATATATACACCATTCTGTGGAAAGCTTCAGGCGGCTCATCCTCAGGTGTATATAGCTGACAAATGGGCATATTAATTGTTAAAGACTAGATTTATATTCATGTCTTGGTTGTCTTCTTTTGAACTTGTTCTACCTGTAACAGTAGAATCATTGGCTTATCACAGACACCACATCGGACTTTCTCAACTGGCAGAATGAACTCTGGGTTGAGCCACGCCTGTGTTAAAGCAAGATCACAAAAACAATTATCAAAACGTTCCAAGTTGAGTATATTAACATTATTTTACAATCTATTAACTGACGATAAACTCTTTTTTCAGTTGTCGTTCTAACGGCATACCAACGGAACAGAATCAATCTTTTTTTTATAACACCCTGTATATTCCTTAGCATACCGGAATTCCACCGACTTTGCTCGGAAACTTGTCAGCCGTAAGGGATCCTTCTGGTGTTTCGACAAATCCTAGTTCTACTGACATAGTGGACGTTTTTCGCTGCTATAGTGGTTAGCATATAAATATATGCATAAATCGTAATGCGGTGGCTTGGTAGCCGTCTAGAAAATTTTTTTACCAGATCTTTGTCACGTGGGTCAAAATTAGAATGCAATAGAACACGCGCTAATAATGTACATTCTTAAAACAACCGAATATTATTTTAGACGTGTTTGCGAAATCTACTCATAAGCTTACCACACCGCCACAAAAGATTGGAAACCAACTAGTAGTTAGCGTTTGTAGATTTATTTATACAGCAATAAAGACGGTAGTCCATCGCACAAGTTACATATCTATTTCAACAGGATAATTGACAGTATGAACTACATTCTTTAGAAATGAGAAAACCGCGTTTTCGAGTTTATTGATCATTTTACGTATAAAAAGGGCCGTGATGATCGATTA